CCCCCGCAAGCGCCGCGCGCCCGGGGCACGAGCGGCCAATTCGCGGTGCTCCTGGGACCGGTGTCTGGCTCCAGCTCCATGCATGCACCGTGTGCCCGGGGCCAGGCCAGCCCCGAGCACTTGGCGGACGTACACGAATGACCCGCGGGCACCGTGTTGGGGACCACTGATATAGGCCAATGTTCCAAGAGTTGGGGGGTGAGAGTCTGTGGTTTATTCCTCCTCCCACTTCAGATGGAAGGTGTGCTGCAGAAATTGGGAAGTCCTTCTCCCAAGGGATGAGGGAAATGGCATGTATGACAGATCTGGCAATTGCCTGTAATAGCTTTGAGGATCTCATTGTATTACATTTCCTTATCATTGTGGATGGTTTGCAGTTCCAAGAAGAAGGGGGAACAATAGCCCTTCAGGAGTGAAGAGTAGTGAGGGTTGGGTAGGGGTGATTATGCAAACTCATTTCAGGCAGCAGCACCCCCACAAAGATCCCACCACCTGAAGAGGCTGGATGGTTCTCCATGACTGGTGGTTCTCCAAGACCAGTAGATTGAGAGAGGTCTTTTGGATAAATAGCCTGAATTTAAACTGACTGGCTACGTCTACACTGGCCCCTTTTCCGGAAGGGGCATGTAAATTTCACGAGTCGTCGTAGGGAAATCCGCGGGGGATTTAAATATCCCCCGCGGCATTTAAATAAAAATGTCCGCCGCTTTTTTCCGGCTTTTAAAAAAGCCGGAAAAGAGCGTCTAGACTGGCCCCGATCCTCCGGAAAAAGTGCCCTTAGGGGGCTGGAGCATATGACCTATGAGGAGAGGCTGAGGGAGTTGGGTCTGTTTAGTCTGGAGAAGCGAAGAGTGAGGGGGGATATGATAGCAGCACCTTGTTCTAAAGCTAAAGCTTTTGGCACATACCAGATCAGTAAGGAAAATACATTCCAAAGCATTCATATTGAAATAAGTTACATTCCAGGAATTTGGGGTTGTACTACTGCATCCAGATAAAGGGAAGAGCCTAGAATAGGGGATGGCAACCCATGGCACACGTGCCACAAGTGGCATACAAATCTTATTCCTACTTTGAAGTAGGAATAAGAGCCTCCGGAAAAGGGCGCTTTTTCCGGAGGATCGGGGCCAGTCTAGACGCTCTTTTCCGGCTTTTTTAAAAGCCGGAAAAAAGCGGCGGACATTTTTATTTAAATGCCGCGGGGGATATTTAAATCCCCCGCGGATTTCCCTACGACGACTCGTGAAATTTACATGCCCCTTCCGGAAAAGGGGCCAGTGTAGACGTAGCCACTTTGTGCTTAGCAAACAGGCAGATCCTTCTTCTGAGGAGGACCCAATGCTTCCTGGGAAGGGTTAAAAGGGCTTTAGCTTGCTGAGGCCTCTGTTAGACAGGGTGGCTGCTCTCTGCGAAGCCTTTAGCAGTGGGTATCAACTTCGATATAATTCTGTGTAATATTTTCACCTTAAGAATAAATGTGCCTGCTTAGAAAGGGCTATTCTGTAACTTGTGATTAGTCTGTCAGTGTGTTTGGCTGGGCTATTGCTCCCTCCAGGGGGAAGGGCTGGGCATGGGAGAAAAAGCTGCTGAAGGGCCAACCCACTCCTGCACCCCATCACTAACCCATGGTTCTCCTCTCCCCAACCTGCAGGGCTGCTGACTGTGGACCCTTCCAAGCGACTGAAGATGTCAACGCTGCGCTACAGCGAGTGGCTGCAGGATGGCAGTGCCCTCTCCTCCACCCCACTCATGACCCCTGACATCCTGGAGTCCTCAGGACCCGCTGTGCGCTCAGGGGTCAACTCCTGCACCCCATCACTAACCCATGGTTCTCCTCTCCCCAACCTGCAGGGCTGCTGACTGTGGACCCTTCCAAGCGACTGAAGATGTCAACGCTGCGCTACAGCGAGTGGCTGCAGGATGGCAGTGCCCTCTCCTCCACCCCACTCATGACCCCTGACATCCTGGAGTCCTCAGGACCCGCTGTGCGCTCAGGGGTCAATGCCGCCTTCATGGTGAGAGGGTGTGTGGTGCCTGGCATGAGGGAGCTGGCCTGGTGGCAGAAGGGAAAGTGGGCTGATGCAGGTCGGTACGGTACATTGTTAAGAACCAGCCACTGGTATTGGCTCACAAATGGCTGACGTTAAAGCACTGCCACAGCTGCACTTTAATATCGCTGCCCCTTTTGATTCTCCCATTGGCAGCTCTGACGTATGGTCTGGCAGCCACGTTAAAGCACTGTCAGACCCTACTGTTGGGCAACCAACGGTGGGGGGGAGCAAAAGGGACAGTTGCTCCAGGGCCCAGAGATTTAAAAGGATGTGGGACTTCTGGCTGCTGCGGCAGCAGCTGGAAGCCTGGGGCCCTTCAAATCACTGCCAGAGTCCTGTGGGTTCTAACTGCCACAGTAGTAGTAGAGGACTAGTTGTGAGGGGGGTCTGTTCCCAGCCCTGCCCCTTCCACCCAAGGCCTCATCTCTGCCAAAAGCCCAGAGCCAAGGATGCAGGGCCTGTGCAGGGCACACCAGTAAGTTCTGGTGTCTACTTTCACCCCTCGCCTGAGTACACCGAACCAAAGGCATTAACTGTGAGCTGTTTTGAGGCTTTGGAGGAGCATAGTGTCAGGGAGGGAGAGGGAAGGGTCTGAATAGGTTGAAAGAGGGCTGAGGAATAGGCCCTATGGGGGTAGATGTGTGGGGAGACAGACCAGGGCAGGGAGTAGTTTGGGGGATCAATCTTTGGGTCTCATCTTTTCCCTCACCCTCAATATCTTACCCCCCAGGCCTTCAACAAGGGCAAGCGCGAGGGCTTTTTCCTGAAAAGCGTGGAGAATGCACCCCTGGCCAAGCGCCGCAAGCTCAAGATGTCAAGCACGGGGGCCGAGGCCCGGCGCAGCTCCTCCTCCTCCTCCTCCGGCTCCTCCTCAGCACCCCCTGCCCGGCACCCCCGCTCCAAACCACCTGGCCGCCGCCACAATCCCCCCTTGTAGCGCCTGTAGGACAGGGAGGGGGAGCTATTTATTTTCTCTATTGCTTGTGGGGGAGAATGCAGGTGGGTGTCTCATTTGGGGTTTTTTAGGGGGGATGAGGATTCTGCCCTCCATGTGGACATATGTTTTTCATTCATCTTGTTTTTCCTTTTTTTAAGTTTGATTTAAAACTGGGGGTTGTCCTGTGTACGTATGGGAGTCATGGGGGATTGTTTCAGTGTGACAGAAATTTGAAGTCCTCCAGGAGCTAAAGTGAGGGTGGTCTTTGGGTTGACAGGTAAGTGGGACAGCCCTGGGTGATTGTGAGTGGTGTTCTGTGGGGCAGGTGTGGGGATCATGGGGTTATAGGGCAAGGAGATGTCTCGAGTAGATGCATATGCCTGGGAGCAGTTCTGAGGCATGGCTTCCAGGTGAGACCAGGGTCTATCTCTGCCCCCTATACTTTAGGGTTGTCCCAGTCCACCCATACAGGGGAAGGAGCAGCTGTTCTTTACTGGGGAAGGGAGATCCAGTGTGTACTGCTACCACCACCACCACCTAAAATCTGAGGGCAGGTCCTTTCAGTCAAGACTCTGGGGCTGGAATGAGGAGTGCAGAGGGGGGGGGGGTCTATATTTTTATTTCTTTTAATCTTTTTTTGGGGGGGGTGAGTGGGGTCACCATGGGCACCATCTCCCCTCAGGATTGTGCTGGGGGATAGACCCAGAACAAAGAGCTGGACCCAGGTGCTGTCCCAACCAATGTGTTCCACATCTCCCAAAGCAGTTAATGTGATACCCCTGCTGTAAGGAAAGGGGGCAGGACCCCCATTGAGCAATGGAGTACAGGGTAGGGAGATGAAGGTTAGTCCCTGGGATGGTGGGTGGGCTAGAATTGCATCTCCCCTTCCCCACGCAGATTGGGGTGGAGGAAGAGGGAGAAGATAAGAGATTTTTTAAGAGAAAGAAATATCTATTTTTAAATTAAAAATGTGGGGTGGTCTCAGAATATAGCCCCTACCCCCAGCTGGGAGTGAGTCTAAAGGAAGCCACCACCCAACAAAATTAAACCCTAGACAGCCCCTTCCAAGCAAGCAGAGTGAAGCAGCACAGGCATGAAAGGCTTTCATGGAGGGGTCACTTGGGGGGGGGCTCTGAATCAGTCACTTTAAGGGGGGGTTGTGCAATTGGCTCTGCCAAAGATTGGGGACGTGTGGGGGTGAGGTGGGAGAAGAGGCCAGGCTTGTGGGGGCGGGGAGACAGGGGGCTCGGGCCCATCCCACTTCCTGGGTGCTTCCATCCTGTGTGCCGCCTCCATGTGCGGGGAGGGCGGGCTAGCCTGGGCCCCCCCGGCTCTCTGGCGGACCCCCGCCCCACTGCAGGGGGGGCAGACCAGGGGCTCTCCTGAGCGCCCCCCCTGCGGGTTCTGTTTCGTAGGCGCAGCTAAGACTCAGGGGTGACGTCTCGGGGTGTCTGGGCGCCCCGCTGAGCAGTTGCACGTTGGGGGCGGGGTTGACGTGAGGGGGGGGGGCGCCTCGAGCCGCCTCTCGTCTGCGCGCGAACCGCCTGTGTTTTGTATTTGAGAATAAAACGCCTCTGACACCAGGTTCGGAGTGTGTAGGGGGCGGGGAGCGCTCGCCGGGGGCCACGTGGGGTCCTGCCGCTGGGCATGACGGGAAACCGCGCCGCTATAAAGCCCAGCGCACGAAGCAGTTACAGACGCCGCTCACAACGAGGCAGTGGGCTCTGCGTAGTCCTGAGACAAGCGACCGTCACGCGCCCTAGTTCCCCGGGTCCTAGCGAGTCTGCGAGCGCCGCCTCCTCTTATTGGCCCTTCCTTGGGGCAGGGCAGCTGCTCATTAGTTCCGACAACGGCCAATGGGGTGAGCGGGTTTAGTATAAATTTAGGCGGCGCGGAATAAGGAACTGGAAGTGGGACCGCTAGGGCGAGGCTGTCGAACGGGAAGTGATTTGAGCTATAAGAGGCGGAGCTCCCTCCCAGCAGGAGAGGAATTGTGGAGCCTAAGGCCTGGTTGCCAGAAGTGCCGCGGCTTGCCTGGATCAAGTCCCCGAGGCTCACACCTCCCCTCAGTATTGGGGAGCCGCACTCTGGCACTCCAACCCCCCTGCCCTCCCACCACATGGCTGGTGCTCACAAAACCTGATAGCCTGGGCTCCCCCTGCTCTACTGCAGAGGTCTTCAACCTTTTTGAGCATGAGATCACTTTTTGAATTCAAGTGCAATCCAAGATCCACCTCAGATATAAATACCCTTGCCCCACCTCCTCTCCAAAGCCCTGCCCTTACTCATTCCATCCTCCTTGCCCTCCTCTCTTGCCCATCATCATTCCCTTTTATCAGGCTGGGGCAGAGGGTTGGGGCACTGGTCTTAGATTAAGGGATCTGACATGTGAGGGACTCTGAACTCTTGGGCTGTGTCTAGACTGGCATGATTTTCCAGAAATGCTTTTAACAGAAAAGTTTTCCTTTAAAAGCATTTTCGGAAAAGAGTGTCTAGATTGGCACGGACACTTTTTTGCAGAAAACAAATCTGAGCTGTCTACACTGGCCCTTTTGCGCAAAAGGACTTTTGCCTGAACGGGAGCAGCATAGTATTTCCGCAAGAACAATGACAATCTTACATGAGATCGTCAGTGCTTTTGCGGACATTCAAGCGGCCAGTGTAGACAGCTGGCAAGTTTTTCTGGAAAAGCGGCTGATTTTCCAGAAAAACTGGCCAGTCTAGACACAGCCATGGGGTAGCTAGTTGGGATTTAGGAGTGGGTTCTAGGTGCAGGCTCTAGGAGGGGGTTTGGATGCGGGGTGCTCAGGGCAGGAGTTTGGGGTGCAAAAGGGGGTTCATGACTGGCGTAGAAATTTGGGATGTGGGCTCCAGCTGGGCATTGCTGGTGGCTCCTGGTTGGTGGTACAGTGGGGCTAAGGTAAGCTCACCCCTGCCCTGGCCCTGAACCTCTCCCAAAAGCAGCCAGAAAACTCCATCCTAAGTCCTGTTGTGCCCCCTCTCTGCTCTGTAGAGAAAAGATATAGAGTGAGAGGGGGCACCTTGACATCAGCATCCTCCTCCCTCCCCTGCCCTGCCCAGAAAGCAGGAGGCTTCCCAGGGGGAGGTGCAGCTGCAAGCCAAAGGACAGGAGATGAGCAACAATGTAGGGTGGGGTAACTGAAGTACTGGCACTTGATAGCCTCTTGGCCAAACTAGTCAAGATCACCCTGCAGCGGCTCCAAGATCTACAGTAGTTCCCATCTACTAGTTGATGACCACTGCTCTACTGTGTGAAGGGAATACGGGGGCTGCATCTAGACTGGTATGATTTTGCACAAATAATTTGCTTTTGCACAAAAGCATCAGTGCCAGTGTAGATGCTCTCTTGTGCAAGAAAGCTCCGATGGCCATTTTAGCCATCGGGCTTTCTTGCGCAAGAAATTAACTTGGCTGTCTACACTGGCCCTCTTGCGCAAGAATACTTGCACAAGAGGGCTTATCCCTGAGCGGGAGCGTCAGAGTATTTGCGCAAGAACCACTGATTTTGTACAGTACAAAGTCAGTCTTCTTGTGCAAATACTCGCGGCCAGTGTAGACAGGCAGCAATATCTTGCGCAAAATCATGCCAGTCTAGACACACCTGGGGAGTGTCTTTCTGCTTCTCAGTCAAGCCACATTAGTGATGCTTGTTGGGTTTTTTTGCTTCTCATTTGGGTGCGATCCCAACTGATTTTTCTGTGGGCCAGCAGCCTCTGAACCAAAAACCACCACTGCCCAAGGCATAAGCCTTCTCTCCGCTTCCGCTAACCTTATAGGCTACGTCTAGACTGGCATGATTTTCCGGAAATGCTTTTAACGGAAAAGTTTTCCTTTAAAAGCATTTTCGGAACAGAGCGTCTAGATTGGCACGGATGCTTTTCCGCAAAAACACTTTTTGCGGAAAAGCATCCGTGGCCAATCTAGATGCGCTTTTGTACAAAAAAGCCCCGATCGCCATTTTCACGATCGGGGCTTTTTTGCGGAAAACAAATCTCAGCTGTTTACACTGGCCCTTTTGCGCAAAAGAGACTTTTGCCCGAACAGGAGCAGCATAGTATTTCTGCAAAAAGCACTGATTTCTTACAGTAGGAAGTCAGTGCTCTTTTGCGGAAATTCAAGCAGCCAGTGTAGACAGCTGGCAAGTTTTTCCAGAAAAGCGGCTGATTTTCCGGAAAAACTGGCCAGTCTAGACACAGCCATAGAGTAGGACTGAGAAGCATACCCCATCCATTCCCTGCAAGCAGGCATACTTTCTACAGGCCAGCTTGCTGGCTACTGCCTCTCACCAGGCAGGTAGTAGGTCTAGCTGCAACTATCTTTTGACCTAGTGCTGAGATTCAATGGCCTGTTTGCATTGTAGCCCAGTGTGAGAACTAATCTCTTTTACATAAAACACTGAAAAGATCAATATGTTGTTCCTGGGCCAAACTTGAGTTTAGGTCTCCCAGAGGCTAGGAAAGGCACATTTTAGCATTGTAGTCAAGCCTACTATGAAATAGGCTACAATCTAGATTAACATGGCACAGGGGTGGCCTTGAGTAAGGCCAGCATTAAAAACATGGGACATAGAGCTTCTTTATAGAACAGTGATTTTCAAACTTTTTTCTTGTGATCCAGTTGAAAATTGTTGCAGCTCATGACCCAGCATAATTATATCTTTAGAGTAGAGTACAGGCTCCAGGGATGAAAGCGCAGGGGGTGAAGGTTTTGCCCGGATGTGTGGGCACTGGGGCGGGGCCTGATATGAGGGGTTTGGAATGTGAGGTGGGGAGTAGAGCAGAGGGGTTCTGTATGTGGGCAGGGACTCTGGACTAGAGCATAGGGGTGGAGAACAGGGGCTATGGAATGGGGCCAGAGGTGAGGTGTTTGGGTGCAAACAGGATTTCTGGGATTGGGGGTCTCAGGGCTGGGACAGATTGTTGGGGCACAGGCTTACCTCTGGCAGCTCCCATCCCAAGCTCTAACTCCACATTTCCATTAGCAGTTTCCTGATTTGTCACCACGCATTGCTGAGCAAGAATGGAACAAGTTCATTTTTGGGCTTGTTTTGCTTTTTAATCTTGTGAGAACTGCTAGGCTCTACCTAGGAACTGGACTTGCTGCCAACTGCTTCCAGGGCACAGTGCAGTTCTTAGTGCGAGCACATGCAGGAATCTGGCCTTAGCATCCCTGCTGGTCATCCTACATCAAGGCAACCCAGTGCCTGATTTCCAAGACCCATACTTTGAAAATCACTGTATAACATGGTGGAGGTGGGGGAATGGGGAAAACGGTTGAGAACTCTGCTGTAGTAAACAACCTTGTCTGGGAGACCTAAATTCAAGACCTGACCTAGCAACATAGATAAGGTTATATTAACTTTTTACTGCAGCTGTGCCTGTCCCCCAACAAACCTTTATCTATTGCAGCCCAGGAAGAAACTAGTGTGCGTGCGCAGGCATGCACACACACACACGCGCACACACACACACACGAGTCAGCACTTGGAATAGAAACCACACAGAGAGACTTTATTGAAAATAAAACCTTACACTACCTGGAATGGAACTGAAGCATCCCCCAGAAGCCA